GTGAATAGAGTTTAGTTTGTTGTTGATTTGAAAGCGTTTCATTACATTATACCGATTATGTGTGCGACTGGAATAAGGTTGATTACTACTAGAAAGGCTAATAAATTAAATTCCTTATAGAATGATTGGTATTTAATTGAAATAGAAAAAAATAATTGTAATAGATCCTTTCGAGAGTGAATAACTGAATCCAAATAAATTCTGGCTAGTAAATTTCATTTAAAAATTTATTATTCTTAACTTCATTGTTAAAAAAATCTTTATCGTGACTACTACGGGAACAAAAAGAACTCGAAATACAATATTTATCGCATTTTAGATGAAGACATGTTGTTTTAAAGGATAAAATTCAAATTTTTGCACGTACAGAATTTACGAGTTCTATTTTTTGAGATTCTCATCTTTAATGTGCATAAATTTAGCATTCTACGACCTCCCAAACAATGCTGATTTTACATAAAATTTTCCTATCCCTTGAAGATATCAAAAAAAGGATATTAGAAGAAGTTGTTTGGAATTTAATTGTAACCAATAATACCAAATTTGATACATTTAACATTTTTAATTTTCTCGGAACCTCTTACTAGCTATTTATGATTGCAAATGAGAGGAGAATTTATACAGTGTAGTCCAATGAAAAGTATCTGCCCCCCTTTTCTTGGTTACCTCAGATTGAAAGAAGAAATGCTCAAACACGTCGATTTTGTTTGGAGGGGGAAATATTTTTTTCCTAATTGCATCATTGACACTCCAACCCTCGGGCAGTGAGGTGAACAACTCCTACAATTTAGATAAGGAAAGTACTAAGTGTGGCACATTTTTGAAAATATAATTTTATAAGAAATTCAGTAATACCAATATTGTTGTGGCAAATTTCGATTTTAGCGCCCTCTTGAGGGCGAACATTATTGTTTTCCTGAAATTTAATACACAAATGCTCGGACACGTCGATTTTTGTTTATAAAGGGACACGTTTGAAGCATATTTTTTAATTCGCATCTTCAACCACTTGGTGGGGACAATTACACCCTTAAAATTTTAAAGTGGGGAAAGTAGGGAGAAGGGCTAAATATTTTAAAAGCAAACAATTTTTTTTTTATGATACCCTATTTATTGGATTTTACTTAAACATTTAATCCGAAAATGGCTTTAGAGACCCCAATCCTGCTCTTTTGGTATTATACATATTGAAAAATTCACTTAAATTTTGTTTATTAAGAGTCCAAACAATTACAATAAGTAGGTACTAAATTACTCAATTTAATAAAAACTTATGACTGAAATTCCAATAAAAACGAAATTTCTGATTTATCGTTTGCGTTTTTTGTTAAAATAAAAAGAAGTAGTAAAAAAATAAAATGAGAAAAAAATTTAGGTAAACGTTCATGTGGTTTCTTTACAATTTGGTTGCTTTTAAAATTATTTTAATTTTATTGTAAAAAAATGGTTTATTCCATTCCAGAACGAATTAAAATTATGAAACTTTATTTTCAAAATAATAGATGCGCTAGGCTTACCGCTCGATTGTTCAATAACGATCATCCCCATAAAAATGTTACCAAAATAGTCCAAAAATTTTCCGATACTAGATCTTCCACTACGAGTCAGGTTTAAGCCAGGTTTAAGTCAGTAAGCTCCAGTTATGTAAAGCCAAAAATCTGGAAATAGTTTGTTCTTTTCAAGGCGCAGCAGGTAAATATAATTTTACATACATATCTTTTTCATATGGTTATATAGATGATAATGTCTTGTCATCGAGTCCGTATAAATCATGGAGGTATATTTAATCTCATTGGTATGAATGCGTAGATCGTTTACGGATCTGAGCAGATGCTTTTATGGAAGTATTGGGTACAAATGCCTTCGAATAAGTTAGCTCTGGAAGATCTCTTCAGTACATGAGTCTATCCTCTGGTCATTTTAAGAAGATAAAACCTTTGGTAGTGTTCTTTACAATGCCAAAGAATGGTCCTGGTTCTATGAACGAGTGGGTCGGCTTTTTCATTGTTATCTACATCGCTGTGTCTCGGAACCAAGACCCTCAGCATGATATTGCTTATACTAATTTTCTTTTTTGATGTAAATTAAAGAACAAAGAAAAAAGCTTCAGTGAACCTGTTTCCTTACCTCACGTAGAAGAAAAATTAAACGCATGGAACTAGTCAATTTTGTGTATTTAATTTTCAAATGATAAAGTCAGGTATACTGGCATTTTATAAACGGAAAAATTAAGGATATCGTCTCAAAAAACAAAGTCGAGAAGTTTATATACGAGGCACCTAATGAAAAATACTTAATGAATAAGGTTTCAATTATTTAAGGTTTGTTTGAAGCCTATTGGGAATAATTGTGTAATTTATTGGTGGAAGATGTCGAATAATTAAATAAATCATTGGCTGTAAACATTCCAAATAGTAAAACTCAAATAAGTCGTTCATTCTCTATGATTAGAAATTATGTTGACTATTACCGTAAGTACACTGCTTTACGAAATACTGTGTTCCGAGTTTTCCTCACCTTTAAGTCAAACGCCGCTATCAATCATTTTTAAGTCGCCCTGGAGCACCACGGTAGATAATAATATTACCCATCCCTTCCACTCACAAGTCGCTCAGTCGGCTTCAGGGGTTGAAATTCACTGGTAAGGAGGTGAATTAGGGAGAGTATTAATATTATTACTGTTATTTGGCATCGCAGTTTCTTTTTAAAATACTTGAATAATAAATGCACTGCCAAGCCGCTTGTTACAAATACGTTGTTTAAAATTACGGAATATTATGTAGGACTTTTTCGGAAATTCTAAGCTTCTTCGCTAGCAGAATTAGAAGCAAATACAAGGTAGATAAAAAGGAAGCTGGGCAGTAGCCAAAGCAGCAGATTTTAAAAGATCAACGCCAATTCTTGATATGCTTTGTTAAAGATATTGTTATGCAGGTTTTTAATATCTTAATTTATTTCAACTAAACTTTTACAATAACTATACAACTGATAAACATTAACATATAACGTCTATCTCAAAACTGAAAACTCTGACGTCAGGATCGTTAACTTATATGGCTTGCTTGACACTTCTCGAACCTTCTCGAACTAATTAGATTTTTCTTGACATGGAATGACATTTTTGGACTATTCTATTTGCTTCTTTTACTCGTACTTTTACTTACGACGACTGCAGCACGCTACAAGGTGCTGCATAACATTGCTCCCTCCTCTCTAGTTATTCGCCCCGAATAACTTGATTACTGGGACCTGGTTGGAGCTAATTGGGGTGGATCTGGACCATGGCATGGCGCTAACTATCCAATGGGAACTACTGGATTTACTTCCCGTTGACAGCTAAATGCGGTAGATCAGGTCGTTGATTTTCCTTAAGGGCGGAGTAGGGGCCTTTCACAGTGTGTCCTTGTGGCCCGCCTGTCGATTCTGGCTTCTGATTTATCGCTGTTGGTTTCCAACCGTTCCCAAGAGAATTCGTAGACCTTTGTCCTGCCATTGCATACATCATATTTTTAAACCAATCCGCTACATCCTGTCGGCAATTAATAATATTTTTCAGTGCTGCCAGTGTCCTTTTAGTACCAAAATGTCCTCCCAAACGGCTGCAATAAAGCTCCTCCAACACACTTCTAACAGGTGATTTCGCAGTACCACTTGGCAGGCTAGATATACTCTATCGGGGCTTTTCCACTTCCGGTGTAATAGGCCATCATGAAGATACAGAGAGTCCCACTGAGTCCAGTACCCTTTTATAGTTCTACTGTATTTGGCTATCTCTTGCTATTCTCGGACAACCTTTAAGTCTTTGTCTTTCTTATGTTCCTTTCTCAGGCTTTCAAGGATGATTTCTTCTTCGACGTCCTCTGGCTTGATAGTGGTTTTTCGAAGAGTAACTTTATCAATCGGTTCTTCTCGTTCTTCGAGCCTTTTACTGTGCCGGCATTGTCCTTCTAAACAAAGTCGCCCGGAGAGAATGTCTGTGTTTCTATGGAGACCTCTTCGATGCTATACTTTTTGGTTATTGCTAAAAAGCCGGCTCGATGTGGGTAGTTGATTTCTTCGGGATGCATAGCGGCTGTAATTATTTTTTGTTGGACTTCGTAACGGGCTTCGGAAGATTGATCTATATGATTTGCCGGTCTCATTCCCTGATTCTCGATTTAAAGAATGAGCCATGCTTCTACAGCAGGTTCTTTGAAGATGCCCGATTCCTCCACAATTAAAGCATCTCCTGTTTCCATTTTATCTGTTTTCTTGCATATTTCGTAGAAAATTTAGGATCTGTGAGAGGGTAGGTTGTGGAATAGCATTAGTATTGGCCTTCTCACTTTCCTGTGATTTAATTTCCCTAACTTTTGCGCGAGAAGATCTCTATATGTGTTTCATCGCTTCATATTTCTGGGCTGCAATTAGTTTCTCCATCAGCGTCTTGTGATGTTGTAGACGAAGGGCTTGCTGCAGTTCCATATCTTGTAGTCCATCAATAAATGCCTGTATGCCGATTTGTTCTTGAAAATCGTTGGACGCCTGTGGATAGGGCAGATGAATCAATCTTTTTATGTCGGCCTCGAAATCCTGTAGACTCTCATTATGTTTTTGACTGCGAACCTTTAGCTGGCTTTGGAATACCCGTTTCAAATGCTACTGGCCATATATTGTCTTCAAAGCTTGGACGAGAGATGAATAACTGGGTTCTTCTTGAGGAAGTAACTGTAAAACGGTTACTGCCTGTCCTCGCAGCGCCACTATCAATGCAGCTACCATCTCTTTTTCGGCCCAGCCATTGGCTCTAGCTGCAACTTTAAATTGGAGTTAATATGTGTCCAATGTTGTCTGACAGTGAAACGTGGGTGGTTTTAGGGTCTTGCACCTATGGTTTTGTGAGACTGAGATTTGAATACGGCTTGGGTTAGTTACAGATAAAGACGAGGTAGTGTTTTCAGCTTGAATATTGCTTACGGAAGCTAGGCTACAAATTCTTCTCTCTAACTCAACTAGTTCAG